GATTCTTGTTTACTGACTATATATTCGCTAATAGCAGTGGTTGTAACATTTAATTGTGCCGTCTTTCGAACGTTATCACCAATTAGTCACAATATATACAATTTTGTGCATGGTAGTATTATGGTCCTTGTGTAACAACCTGACCCAGTGCTATTATCGTTTAAATTAAGAGTCTTTTATGATTTCATTATTGAATAAATTTTTCCTTACAGAACCGGTATTTGTTAATAGTTTAGGTGATTTTCCGGTAAGTGTGAGGTACTGAATCACAGTATTTGACGAAATATGAGGTAATTCTAAGAATATACGGGAATGTTCGATTAGTGAGCTAATTGTGATAATGATAATTGAAAGACAGTGTTTAAATGCGAATTTGAATCGTTGAATTGAGTTATTGGCTTAGAATAAGCGTACTACTTTTTCATTAATTTATATCATTGAAATATATCAGAGAAAAAGTTTTGAATGATGGAATTTATGTTTAATCACGATGTTCGTGAAACAATGTTGTCATTTGGAGAAAAACAATTCTAGTATGAGGTAAATTATTTTTGATACATTTCTGATTTCAATTGAAGCCATTACTTCACCCTAAAATTGTTTGACGCTCTCAAGAAATTAGTTTCGAGGATCATCTGGTCATGTTTCAATACTACAAGGTGACGTTAGTCAAAAACCAAAAGTAATAACCTTTTCTGAAACAATTCAATGCATAGAATTTATGTAAGACGGAGAATTTAACCCTATAGATTTTGGCAGAAAAATATTCATAAATAGATTTGGGAAGCTGAATACACTTATTGAATGAATGAATCGAACAGGTTTCCTGTATGAAAGTGAATAATTATAAAATGTTTGCACAGCGCTTTCGACTTTCGTCATCATCAGTGCTCACCTGAAAGTAAGTGATCTAATTGAAAAGAGAGTTTTGTTAAACTTAAAATTTGAAAAATTTTTGAGGTTATGAAATTTAGAAAATTGTTTATGATTACTTTTATGAAGGGGAAGGAAATCTCTATTTGACTTTACTTGAGTATTCAAGCAATGATCATTATTAGAAAGCTCTTTGGAAATCTCGAGCTCTTCAAACAAGTGCAGTCTGAGGAAATTTTTATTATCAATTTTTAAAATTTTGAAATTTTTATTGGGGCTGAAGTTATGATTGTGAAATTTGATGTGGTGGCGAAATGCCGATTGTTCATGTCTTTTTAAATGTTCATTAATGCGAGTGAAAAGAGGTCTACAGGTTCTACCAATGTAAGCTGCAGAACAATCAGAACAGTCAAGCTCATAGACTCCATTTCTGTGTAATTTGTTAATTTTGTCTTTGGAATTTACTAGAAAGTTGTTCAACTTATTTTGAGATTTAAAAGAAATTTATGTAGCAGGTATGGTATTTTCTGAAGATTTGGAAATAACAGTACACATATTTTGATGAATATAAGGTAGAGAACTAGCCAAGGTGATAGAGTTGAAGGCTAATTTTCTATCCGACCTGTGTTCGAATTTACTAATTGATTTGTGAATAATAGATGGTTGATATCCATTGTTGAGAGCAACCTGTTTCAATGTATTCAATTCTGAATTGAAATTGGTGGGTGATAAAGGAATGTTCAACAATCTGTTGACATAACAGTTGAAGGAATCTATTTTATGTTGCATAGGATGAAATTAATTGAGGGGGATGACATGATCAGTCTGGGTTGGTTTCCTGTAAATGGAAAAATATAGTTTGTTGTTAATTTTTGTTATAGTAAGATCAAAATAGTTTAATTTGATATCTTTTTCTATTTTGGTGTAACTTATTTAGGAAATCAAGAATTTCATGTGCCAAATTGGAGTTGCCATCTATGAAAACCAGGCAGTCATCAACATATCTGAACCAGCTGAGGATTTTATCAATGATGAATGAGTTTTCTAAATTTTCCATTTAAAAGTCGGCTAGGAAAGGTCAAAAGGGGTTACCCATTGCTAAGCCTTCAGGTTGCTGTAAAATTTTTTGTTGAAAACAAAAAAATCTTGGGAAATGCAAAATTCAAGTAAAGTTAATATATCTGTATAATATATCTGTATGAATCAAATACTACAAATATGCCATATACTCGTTTTGATATTTCCTGTTGCCTGATACGTGAGTAATCATAAACAATATTCTAAATTTCATAACCTCAAAAATTTTTCAAATTTTAATTTTTACAAAACTCTTTTTTCAATTAAATTACTCACTTTCAGGTGAGCACTGATGATGACGAAAGTCGAAACGCTTTTCAATACTTTTATAATTATACACTTTTATACAAAAAAACCTCTTCGATTTATTCAAAATATTCATAGTTGACATCAGAAGAAAAATCCTCGATTAGGTTATGGCATTCATAAAATAGAGGGAAATAGAAGGTACACATTCAGTTATGGATACTTTGATATTAGAGTTCCTCTGGGGTTGGTCTTGGTCATATGATATTCCACCTATATACCCATTGATGACCATTCCCAACATAAACATAATCGTAGATTATACATCAATAATAGAGGAAACTAGCTGCTCTGTGGAATCCCAACTAAACCTAACATGTAGAAGATTGGCTTGGCTGATGTAAAAACAATCGACTGACAGTGAATACTAAGAGAATAGTTGTTCTACAATTTCATGAAAAAAAGTGTGTGGGGCAAGCTATTGATATCAAAAAAATGATATATTATTCTGGAATCAAAATATTTCTAGTACTATATATTATAGTCTCTGGGAGGCTATGGAAATTTCATGTAGACCAAGCAAAATGATGAATAGCAGTTTCTGAAAAAAATTTATTACGCAATGGTTCCAATATTGAACGAGTTTTCATTTTCTAAAAACATATAATATACGTAGATATTTTTAACGGTATATTTGAATGTAAATATATGTATGGTGGTGTGAAATAACCTGATTCTGAATTCGTGACGTTTTACGGTCCCACTCATTTCCAATATGGAGTGTAAGATAAAAAACACCATGGAAGTTTATTGAAAAAACCTCCCACTCTAGCAGGGTCAAAGATTTTCAATTTCCTTCCTTCAGATATTGAAAACGTTCGAGCTGTCGATGTTCTCAAACATACCTTGTAACCAAACATAAACGATATTTCATTTTCAATACCATTTTCATTTACTTTTTAACTACCCTTCGGAAGAGAGGTATGAGAAATGATATCAATCACTGAGGAGGTTATGGAAATGTCAACTCAATTGAGAGCAATAACAAATTCCCTGACATAACACAACTATTGAATACCATAATTCCAGTTTATTGTTTCAGGATTCTATCACCTAAATTTCTACAGGGTTCACAAGGAAGTTGGGGGGGTTCATCCGACATAAATTCACTCGAGGAGTATCAGATTCCTATATGAACGTTTCTGAGTTTTCATATTTGTTCCCGAATGATAATTACCTGCTAGGTAACAGGCATACATTCTATTAATGCAGTTCATCGATCCAGTGAGACGATTTTGTAGCTTATCGTCATTTTTTCTTCAACTACCTCTATCGCATGTATTAAGTTCACATTTTATAAGAAACAAACAATGGTTGACAACTAATAACGAAAGGTACCTCAAAACCTTGAAAGAACTCTGAAGAATTTAAAACGAATTTGTGGATTGTAGATCGTTTAGGTTTGTTTTTTATGATATAGCCACCGAATATCATTAATATAAAACGTGCCTTAATGGTTACAGAACAACTAAATGGAAAATATAAATAACCAACTTAATCGAATTGATTACATGAATTCATTTGCTAAAAGTGAAAGGATGAGGAAGTCATGAAGTTTGAAAAAATCAATACCATTATCACTTACATAATCATAATCGAATAGATGAACAATTTATCATAGTTGTTGAGTTCTTTGAAAAAACACATAATAGCGAATATGTCGATTCAAAATGATTCACATTGGATATATTTATTTTACCTGATATCAATATTTCGTGGAGTGAATATGGATGATTTTTAAATCAATTATTTGTAACAATTAACTTGAAATGAAAGCTTACCAAATAATGGATAATAACGGACATCAATATCAAATATTTTATCATTGCTCAAGTGTCTGTGATATGATAAATAACTCAGATCGGTTGTGGAGAATTCATTGAATTTTTGTTTGGAATATCATTTGCTGGTTGTTCGGTTTGTCAAAGTGGCATGATTGAAAATGTTCCGTTAAATACACAATGTTTCACAAAGTCATGATATATTGTGTACAGTTTGTGGATAAAAATATAATATTCAATATACTTTTATAATAAACGTTCTCTGATGATATTCAATTTCATTAGTTATCACAGAACATTTAAGTATTTTTTTCGTGAAAAAAAAATTATAAGATTATTTCATCTTTAAGATATTCCACAAATGAGTGTGGTATGACCACAAAAACGTCAGCTATGAAGTTTGAAGTCCACAAATATATCAGTTGGCATGAAAAAAACGTCACTATCTTTTTTCCATTATCATCAGAAAATTTTCTTCACTCAGCAGTGAGTTCTGATATCTTGGAATACTCTAAATGTCACTGAAAATGATTCAGGAATGAATTCCATAAAAATATCCAAAACAATGTTAAAAAATAATCAATTTCATATAAAAAAGTATTTTAAGACATTCCAATTCGAAAATATTTCAATAAAAATAAAATGAATTGATTAGTCGAATTCTAGAATGAAATGGAAATGGAACGGAAATTTCATATAATGATTCATAAGAAACAAACGCATGAAAATTTTTCTGAACAAAGCAACTGACTGCCCATTTTTTTCTCCACATCACACAAAAAGGACCCCAGTCATACTTTGAGCGTCCACAACAATTCTGAGTTTTATATCATCAGGTTTCTTACCATTTCTCCCTATACAATTTTCATCGCATTACACGTATACACATTTTTTTCAGATTTTAATTTTTTACTTCCTCTAAAAATAGGGGTGTCACAAGCTCCTTTTACTAAGTGTACCTACTTTCTCTCATATTAACAACGGTTTTCTTCCATCTACAAAGCGTTAAGTAGTGTCATGATCCATATCAAGACAAGAGAAGTTGAAGGGGGCAGTAGTTCATTTGACGAAGATCTGATTTTGCTCAAATACGTGTTGACACAAGGAGCTTCCTCGGAACCTGAAAAAAGAAGTCTAAGTCAGATGAAAGAGTTAAAACAGTTGGAATTACAAATTATTCTGAACAACGTCATACCAGCCGATAGTTTTTCAAATTGCTGTGAATCAAATTGGTTTTAATTCGAGGAGTCTAGTCCTCTTCAGTTAGTTGTACTGCTGAGGAATGAGCTATGATAGTTCAACAAGTTTCTAGGATAATTCAAGCGGGATATTGTAGTTCGAACTGTATTAATTTGAACATTGAAGTGATGTGCAGCTGTATTTTGCTGCGTACTTCTGACATATATCACTCTGGATGGAATCAAGCAGGCTAAGTTTCACTTCCCGTGGAGGCAAGTATGAGTAGTATTTCAGAAAAGGTTCAATTTGTGCATTATGCAGTATTGAAAGTCGCTGGGACGTGTACAGTTTTCTCATTCAAGGTTTCTGAAAATTTGACTTCACTATCGCATGATGATTGTTTCATAATGAAGTATCTCTTAGACAAACGATGTTAGTAGTTGGCGTCAGTTCCAATGGAGCGTCAACACCGACCCCGTGTAAGTATTTATCCTTGCCAGTCCAGCTCTGTCAGATTACGATGTCACGAAAGATCAGTCGCCAAATTTTTTCTTCAGGTAACTAACCTGCAGCGATTTCAGAGACGTGTGAATGCGTCACACCAGTCACTTATTATGCGCCAGTTGCTGACTCATTATGCACCAGTCGCCCCTACGATTCATCGTTGTATTTGGCTGGTCTGTATCACTATACTAGGTAACTCCAGAGACTATCACTGTTGACGGCCGCAGGTGTCAGCAGAAGGCATTGTCTAGATCAGGCGGTCCAGTCCAGTGGGTCTGGTTTCAATTACTGTTCAAAAAAATGTGTTCAAAATCTGTTTTTACGTTAATCAGCTGTCGCCCCCATACGAACGATAACTCTCAGAAGTTGAGAAATTTGTGCGAGCTAAGGACTAACGAGGTCTCTACTTTTAACATGTGATTACTAACACGGTTGCAGAATCATTCCAGCTTCAACCAGATACATTCTCTCGAGAAAAATATCTGGTCGAGGCGGGATTCGAACCCACGGTCTTCCGATCGTGAGTCGGGCGCACTACCACCGCGGCCGATCTCTGTCGATACTAACATGCGCCAGGCAATGGTATTGTGTGAATGATCATTTAGATATCGCACCAATCTCCCAGTCCTACAGCTGATCATTGTGGCAGAAACGGGATTGTTTTCTGCACAGTTGTACATAAATGGGCATTGCATTGTCAGCATTAGCCCCGTATTAACATTTTTTCGTGCCAGTCCAGCGCTGTCAAATAATGAAATGAAATAGTTTTATCAAGTGTTTCATGAAATGGAAGAAGAAGATGATTAAATCGCAAAGATCAAGAAACTTCTGAAATTATCTAGTGAGCATATGAAAATCAAATGCGATTTTACCGACTTGAAGAAACTGAAGCAGAAGTTCACCAACTTGTCCTTGAATGCATCTCTTACATGTTGAAGCTAGCGATATTAGGCCTATCCAAAACGCGTGAATCATATGCTGATTTGAAAATAGCATTATAAAACAACTTCGAACCAGTTGTGAAGAAGACAGTCTTGCGTGTTGAGAAACAATTCAACTTTGAAGATTTTAATGATGATAATAATAATTGAAAGGCTACTCAGTACAACAGATAGTAACTTAATCTAACAAATGTCAGAATTCAACATCTGCACATGAAAAATCAAGGCAGAATGCTCTTTCATCCAACCAGAGAAGATTGAAAAATCAGGAGACGTGATAGCAGACCGAAATATAACCAACGTAGACCCAAAGGAATTCTATTGCAGATGTAAGCAGCTGACAGTTAAACCAAAAAGAAATTAGGGAACCAATCGGAGGATAAAAATAAATGAAAACATATTAGGACCACGCTATACTCAAGTAGGATTACCACAAGGCGGTATTTTGAGCCCTTTACATCAGTTAGTTCATTCATTAGTGTATCACATGCTGAAGTTTTGAAAGACTTTTTTGGAAGATAAAATCAATCAATTCAAACGTAATTTTCACAAAGTGATTATAAAGATATAGTGGACAGTTGTTATCAAAGGGAACATCTATGAGAATCCGTGAAATGCTCTGAAGTGCATTTAATTAAGATCATATATCTGTATTGTGGAAGTAATAATACATTTTTTGTGACAGTCAACAAAAAGCTTATCTACAAACAATAAATGATTTATTTTCACTAGATATCCCAGCAACTAGGACCGGCTTCAGGAAATTCAGCTACAAAATGAATGGACCTGAATGTGTCAAAATTATAAATGGAAATGAAAAAGTTGCTGTCTGTGATTGCTGCGCTGTAGTATATCACGAAAAATGTGCTGATCTAGCCCCTTCTGAACTAAAAGCAGTCGTAATTCAAAAACAAAATCTTCTCTACTTCTGCACAAACTGCAAAGAAAATTTCAAGAAAGTACCAAAAATCATTGAAAAATTAAATGAAGTATTGGAAATCAACAAAAAGTTGGTAGAAGAGAATAACAAGTTGCAAGAAATGGTTGTAAAAGTTAATGAAAAGAATATGGCCGAAAATTTCAATTTTATTGTCCAAGAGATGCATGAAAGACAATCAAGGGCACCAAATATTATTGTATGTAATATCCAAGAATCGAATCTGAATAATCAGCGTGACAGGGCTGTTTGTATCGTTCATCTAATTCTAACTTCGGTCAGTTCATGGATAATTTTGAAATTTGGGCAGAACATTTTTTCGATGAAAAACGCCGATGTATTCTACTCGGTAACTTTAATATCTGAATTATTTAAATAATAATGACAGAAATGTACAACAATTCAACAGCTATACTTGGTGTAGAACAACTAGTTAATGAGCCTACAAGGGTGACTAACAACAGCAGCTCTTTAATTGATTATGTTATGCAGTTATGCTTGAAGAAGCTATTGTATAGCGAAACACGTCTCTATTAGTTTTTTTTTGATTATGTATTGACCAATCGAGGTACCTTTCAAGTGAAAGTTCACAATACTCCCAAAATTGCCGATCATAGTGTAATAACAATGTTGATTAGATTTTCATCAAATCTTAATAATGATTAAAAAAAATTTTAGAAATTTCAGCAGGAACAATTTTGATTTATTGAACACTGGATTGATAATGGAAAATTAGGATTTGTACTCAACTGATGTTAATGTTATTTACGACAATCTGATGGAGAATATAAAAAGGCAGGTAGAACTAATTTCACCATTGAAATCATTCACAATAGAGAAAAATCAACTGCCCTGGTATGACCATGAAGTTGTTGTATGTAGTAAAGCAAGGAGTAGCATTGATGTAAACAAAAGACAACTGAACTGGAATATATATAAAAACCACAGAAATGAAGTGGTGAATCTTCTCAAAATAAAAAAATTAAGTTATTATAAAACAGAAATAGATAATTGTTCAAGGAATCCGAGAAAAATGTGGAAAACACTCAAAACTCTTATCAAACCCAAAATGCACCTATACCTACCCAAATAATTTTTGAAACAACAACAGCTAATTTAGATTACGACAAGGCTGAAATGTTCAATTCTTTTTTCATTGATAGTATACTATCAATTGAAAATGGTATTCCCTTATCCCACCCTTGGTCAAACCAAAATTTTAGTAAATAGATTAGACAGCAAGTGCAATTCAGATATTCTGAATAATAAAGTGCTGAAAAGTATCTTTCATGTGATTGGTCCGATAATCTTGAACTTCATTAATTCGTCACTTACTACTGGTGTTTTTCCTCATCAGCTTAAAACAAGTACAGTTGTACCAGTTCCCAAAATAATAAATGCAAACGAGGCTATTAATTTCCGACCTATCAATACATTACCAAGCTTGGAGAAAGTACTTGAATTAGCTGTGTACGATCAAATTCTTGACTACATCAATACAAATAAACTTTTAATGGAATACCAATCAGGGTTTAGAGCTGTCATTCCTGTGAAACTGCTCTTCAAGTAACAATATTCAAATGGAAAATTGATATGAATGCAAATAGGTACATTGTAGCAGTGTTCCTCGATTTCAAACGAGCTTTCGATACTATAGATATTTCAATTCAACTTATGAAACTACAGTACTATGATTTGACTGGCAACGTTTTCAATTGGTTCTCTAGTTATTTACAAGAGAGGTCACAGTGTACTAAAGTGAAAAACTACATTTCAAGAAAAAAGCCATCAATACAGGTGTTCCACAAGGTAGTGTATTAGGTCCGTTACTGTTCATTTTATATCTAAATGACATCAATCATATTCAGGACTGTGAATTTATAAACCTCTTTGCAGATGACATTTTGCCGACAGCAAGCGATATCAGCTTAACGAATGCTGTCAAAAAAATTAATAATATGCTTATTAGAACATCCGAATTCATCAATATCAATAAAATAAAACTCAATATAAACAAACCAAATCAATGATCACAACCACTCAATATAAATATAATCTAATCGACAAAAATCCATAAACATAAAAATATATAGTGAAACAATTGAATCGGTTGTGGAATTCAAATACCTCGTATTTATGATAGACAACACTCTGAGCCTAAGAAAACATTTTAATTACATTCATAACAAAATTATTAAAAAAATATTCTTCTTTACAAAAATTAGTAACACGTTGACATTTGAAACATCACTAACAGCCTATAATACGATAATTCGATCTCATTTTGGTTACTGTCCAACACTTCTCAACCTTTTTGTTGCAAACTCTATATCCTCTTTGCAAAAACTACAAAATAGATGTATGCGTATACTCCTAAAATGTAATAGATACACCCCTATAATGACCATGCTTCAGGTTCTTGATTGGCTATCTGTAAAAGACAGGCTTTCCTATTTTTCCAAGATATTTATTTTCAAAAGTATTACTGGAAAATTTCCTACCTATTTCAACCAGTTCATAACTTATCAAAATGAAATCCATGATTACCCTACACGAGGG